CTATAACAAAATTAAAATTCTTAAGGGTAGTCAAATGTTAAAAGTTGCCCAAATACAACCCACAACCTGACTCAGAGACGAGAGTGCTACCAATAGCCAGGATGATGAAACAACATTAATTTATGTTAAAAGTATGATAAAATCGTACTCTGACCTCTTCACAGAGCTGCAGGGGAGGTTTAAATGAAGATAGTCTTGAGCTTATCCTGCTAAAAATATCCCTCAACCATCTTCCCATCACAGCATCGAGCTTTTTTTCAAAAATGCGTGCAGCATCCGGGCCTCAACCACCCTTCCCGAAACCTGTTCCAGTCATTAATTACCCTCAGGGTAAAGAAAACCTTTCTGGTGTCTGTCCTAAAATTGTCCTTTGCAATTTAAAACCTATGGCCACATGTTCTGCTGGGATGTCCTCCCAACGTGAAAAGCGCTATACAAATGTAATCTTGTTGTTGTTGTCGCTATCTCGGCGCTCGGTATTGTTCTGGATTGACTTCAGCAATCTCATTGAAAATGTTATATACTTTTGAAAAGTACCCACCGAGACTTTTCCTTTCAAGACTGAACAACAACAACAACAACTTGCACTTATATCGCGCCCTCCAAGCAGGATAGCATCTCAGAGCACTTGACAGTGGCAGAGCCTGACACCGAGCCGGGGGCGGGGGGGGGGGGGGGGGAGGGAGGTGGTCATAAGCACGGTCGAAAAGGAAGGTTTTCAGGCGGGAATTGAAAAAGGGGAAAGAGGGGGAAAGACGGAGGGATTGAGGGAGAGTGTTCCAGAGCTTCGGGGTGTAGTGCCACCTCCGATTGTGGGGGGGGGGGAGGGTGCGAGGGACAGCCCTAATTTGTCTATAATAATCCTTGTATTTGCAGGGCACTATATAAATGCAAGTTGTTGTTGTAATCTCTACTTTGTAGATCCTTATTGGTCTCATTTACACTGCCTTTAGGGCCTGAGCAGTCCCCTTATCGTTCAGTGATCAGGATTGTATGAATATTCTAGGTGTGGGCCTGACCAACAAAACAAGTTAGGGATAGCATCCCAGAGTGCTCGACAACAGCGGAGTACGATGCTGAGCCGGGGGGAGGTGACCGTAAGCATGGACGAAGAGGAAGGTCTTCAGGCGCGATCTGAAGATGGGGACTGCAGGGGCAAGGCAAGGAGGGATAGAGGATTGGTGGTCCAGAGTTTCGGGGTTAGTGGCTGAAAGCGTGTCCACCATTGGTGGGACAGAGGACAGAGCGACATGCTCTGGAGCCAGCAGAGCGGATTTAGCATCTCATCCGAAGGACGGCACATCCAACAATGTAACACCCCCCAACCCCAACGCTACATATATTGGAGTGACTATCTGATGTCCAAGTCCCGATGTGGGGCTTGAACAAGAGGTGAGAGTGCTACTCCTGCGCCAGGGTTATGGATTGTTTTCTGCAGCGTTGCCTTCGATCTCCCCTTCCCCCCACTGCCAGATTTAAATTGAAACTAAGCTTAACATTTCTCGATCATAGTTTTTCTGGTATTACCCTACACGGTTTTGCAAACAGCCAGCAGCCAGCTTGAGGCGAAGGCCACAGAAAAAAATAGTTGTTGAATTTCCTGTCCAGTGATTGAAGGTCAAATCTGGTTTACGAGGAGAGCCAAGTAACATAGTGTGTTTCAAGCACACTGTGCCAATAAACATTTGCTTAATGGCACTCTTTGAATGATATAGTCTTCACTCTTCTGGCTCGTCAGTTTTCATGCACAACTTGACACGAGACTAGAGTAGGAGTAGGCCATACACCAGAAAATGCAAGCTGGTCAGATAGTTCCTTTTGCGTTACAAGGCATTATCTACTGCTGGAAAGAGGTTGTACATGGAAAATACATCAAACATGACTGTGTTCTTCCGTTGTACTGCACTCTTAACATACCTATTCTCCCTCATGTACCTGAATGCATGCTAACACATGTATGATAAGTGTGCGACTCTCAAGTTCATCACAGATGAACAGCATGATTTCCGCACGGCAGATGACCAGCCAGGCAATCTCCAATCAGAAAGTATGACTGACCAGGTGAATGTAACATTTCAGTGTCCGCAGCGTGATTTGTTTTGGAAGCATTAAACAATGAAGTCTAATTTCCAGAGTGAAATTGCACAGCATTACAAATTATTTCCCAAATTAAAAGCATTGCTTTGCTAGCGTGCCAAAGCAAAACTGACCACCATAATTCTTCACAGAGGCTAGTGTATTAAGACACCAATGTGCCAGTACAGTATGCCTACATTCAAACCTCCTGTATTTTACTGGAGGAATACTGTACGTGTAAGGGAGAGGTAGTGACAAAATGTAGATTCCTTTCTTTGGGGCTGGCTTCAGGTCACTGGGAACCAAATTCAATCAAAAGAAACATTGTCTTGAAGTGAGCAGCTGCACTTCAAGTCTAGAAATAATGAACAACAGAGGTGTGTACTAGTAATAATAATAATAATAATAATAATCCTTGCATTGATAAAGCACCTTATCACATCATTGAGACGTCACAAGGTGCTGCACAGAATACAGTTTAAAGTGAATTGACTATTTGAGAATGAAATACAGCAGCAAATTACACACAGCAATGTCCCACAAACAGTTGTGTTTTTTTAATGTTTGCTTTGTGGGTTTTTTTCACAAACCAATCTAAAAATCAGTAAAACGATGGGGGAGGAGAATCGAATTTAAATATGGGAAAATAGGAAAAGGGATAATGGGCAAGTTTCCTTACTCCACACGCCTGATAATAATCCCTCAAGAAAAAAAATAATAATAATTTGGTCACTCAATCCACGACTGTTTGTGGGACACTGCTGTGCGCAATCGGCTGCCGAGTTTCATCCACAAAATATAAAGTCAATTCACTTTACAGTGTATTCTGTGAAGTGCTTTGAGACGTCTCGAAGACGTGAAAAGCTCTATATCAAATGCAAGGATTATTATTATTGCGCAGTAGGTGCACGGTCACAAAACATTTGTCAAATAATGTGAAAGCCAAGAAATCATTTTGTCAGTGGTGCAATTTCTGAAAACATTATGAATTTCAGTAAAAAAAAAATCTTTGGTCCAGTTTCAGGTTATGCATATACAGTATATCTGTAACTGAAAGTTACCGAGTATACCAAAAAAAATCTTCCAACCACAACAAGCTCAGGTCAATTTGCCTCTCAAGGTCAAAGATAAATTAACTTTTTAGATGTGACCCTTCACCGGAACACTGTCTTGACCTAATTGGCTAACATAGTGCATTTACCCATTCAGGAACTTCAAACTTCATCACGTCTTAAACTCTGTGGTTAATAGCATTAAAGCCAAGTGGAGAATATCTATTTTTTTAAAAAAAAGATTAATCCTGCTGGTCGATGAATTATTCGCTGTTTTCATATTCAAATTTCGTATTCACCATTCCTTAATGCCGAAATATAGCCAAAAAAATCTTAACAGTCCTGTTTATCTAAACCTAAAACTCGTATCGAGTCCCAGAAAGTAGAAATTGTAACTTTAATCAGTGCTCAAGCATCCCGCATGGTGACAATGTAGGACATAGCAGAATACTCATTCCCATACAACAACAACTGTATGGAGTCCTGTAGCTCAGTGGTTAGCGAGAGACCTGAGTTCAATTCCAGGCAGAGGGTGAAACCTTGGGCAAGTTTCCTTACTCCACACAGAGCCTAATAATAATCCCTCCAAAAACAAAAAAACAAAAACAATAATAAAAATTGGTCATTTTTCAATCCATGACTGTTTGTGGGACATTGCTGTGCGCAATTGGCTGCCGCGTTCGCCCACAAATATACAGTCAATTCACTTTACAGTATATTCTGTGAAGCGCTTTGGGACGTCCTCCCGACGTGAAAAGCGCTATATCAAATACAAGGATTATTATTATTATTATTAACTGAAGATTACAGAGCTACGGAGCAAAATAAACCAAGGCACCAGGAAATTATCATTGCTTTACTGATACCAGCTGAGGCAACATCTTTCCACTGAACATTACTATTATCTGTCCTCATGATTTAGTCAATTCAGAGTTATTGGCACAAAATAACCACAGAATAAACTACATCAAACACTGTGCCCATTTCAGTAAGCCTTAGAAACATTAACGCACAACTGCAAGGGTCCCACCAGAAAAGCCAACTTTTATATCTTAATTCCAATTGACAAGCCTCTCTCTGTATAAGAGTCACGCTCATCAGCAGAAATCAGCTCTCAAAAACCAGAAAAGTTGTCTTTTAAATATTAATTCCCACTGTTGCATAACCAAATTTGAATCATTGCCTGTAATATAACCAGGCCATCACCTAGATTTAAAACTGTCTTTAAAGGTTCAGCTTGCAAGTTGACTTTTTAATCACAGGATTGGTTGAGTCCTGCCCAAGTCAGCACAGGATTCAGCAACTGGTGTACATGGAATAGCATCTAGAGTAGCATTTGAATTAAGTATCATCATAACAGAGATAAAGCAATAAGCATATTGTACTAATATTTTGTTATTTTCCATTTCTTTTAAAGCCACTAAAAAGAACATAATTGCAAGAATTTTTGTAACTGGAACGCAGTGTTCTGTACATTTGTTCTTCATTTCTCTCTTTTCTAGACATATTAACAGAATAAGGAACATTCATCCTTCAAGACATAACAAAAGGACATATTCAAATTAGGAAGGAAACCAATTTATTCTTAAAAATTCCAAATACCAGCATTAATTAATTGATTGATTGATTAATCCTTGCATTTGATATTAATTAATTAATTATTAATTACCAGCATTGTATTCAATGAAAATACTATTTAAATTTTACGTACAGATGCAATTTTACCTCAAATCTCTGTGGTTCACTATTTGAATTAAAAAAATGGAGCTGTTATTGTCTCTGTCCCACCTCAACAAAGCCTTTGAGATTAAAATAAATTATGCTCAGTTTTGAGCCCAGTTAGTAGTTGTAAAAGATATAGGCAAACCTTACTTCTGGCAGAGGGCTGGCAGGCTTTGTCAATATTCCTCCCACATACACAACGTTGGGCAAGGTAGGTCGAGGAAACTCGAGGGCTACATCCGTGCACAGCATCCACAGGCTAGCACCCTGTATCAATTCATACATGGAGCGTTCCGGTTCAATGTTGTATTTCTGCATTATTCGCTCATACTTTGGCAAGAAAAGAAAATTCACACCAAAGCGCGATAGTAGGTACACTGCAGTATTTGTAATTCGCTGAAACAAATTCATTTTGTCCGTAAGGAGAGAGTTAAACTCCGGCACGTAGGCGAGAGGAGTTGGAGCTCCAACCTCTGCTGGGTACCAGAGACCAGTAGAAAACACGGCATATTTCACTTCTAAAAGATGACCTATCACAAAACCACACATCTCATTGGGATCCACCAAGACCAGATCAAATTTTTCCTCCTTGAGTTGAGTGATGAACCCCTGGCTACCAACCATGAGGTCGCAATTCTTGGAGTAATGCTCTAAAATGTCAAAAAGCTCCAGTGCCGTTAGTCTTCCTGAGAAAATATTCCTCATCTTGGACTGCAGAAATTCATCCGCCGTTGTGCTATTGAAGAAGCCAGGATACCTCAGCAGCCTAAAGTAATCTGAAGAAGGTATTTCTCTGCCTTCTGATACTGCAAACACAGTCTCGTGCCCCTGCTCATGCAAGGCCTTAGCCAAGGTCTTGAAAATGTAGAGATGGCTTTCAAACATAATCGGGGGCACAACTACAATTTTGGCTGCCTTTGATATTTCCACAGAGCACCAAAGTAGTGTGAGGATTTGGAAGTATAATTTCATGGCTGAAAATAAACAGACACAAAAAAAATTAGTGATCAATGAAATAATGTTAGCGATCGTTACACCTAATGCTTTTATAGAATATCTAAACTTACACTTAAAAAATGTGGGGAGCATTTTCATTATAACCACAAAAATAGCTGAGGCATCATATTACTGAATTCTTTCAAATTCAATGGGCATTTCGTTAATGCCTGAAAAACAGATGAAATGGAAAATGTAGGACAGTTTAAAAAAAAACAGTATCATGGTACAGGATATTCAACAACTGTACGTTCAAATTATGATAACTTGCACTGCTTCTGTCAGCAGCTAATTTGCAATAATGACTTTGTGACTAATACTAAAAGTTAATTAAAAAGAGTCAACCTATTGCATCTAAGTTTGGTAGTTACATACACCACAAGCCAACAGTATTTCTCAGATTTGAATCCACTAGCATCACATTTGTTCCCCTTTATCGATAAGATGATTATACCAAAAATTAAAAGCTGCCAACAATTTATTTAACCCAGCAGTTGCAATAATCATAATTGTGCAAGTGTTTCCACCAAAAAGGAAATTACTACAATCTCAACAAAAATGATTCATAAACATAAGTTTGGGCAAAAGTTCTATTTTAGGGCTTTTATCAACTTTATAGCCACACGATTCCATGGTGTTTGGTTTAAAAATATGATGATGCTCGTTACTGCTGTTGGGCAGAAATCATGCGAGACTACCTAAAATGTTAGTCAAAACTCATAACACCAGGTTAAGGCTGGTTGATGTTAATCTACTGACACTAGAATACTAAACTGAGGCAAAACCAGAAAAATTGCTACTAAAAAACATTAAACAAAAGGCTGAGTGAAAACTGGGCAGTGCATTAAATCACTTCAACGTCTAAAAAGTGATCCAGTAGGCGTCGTTACGAGAAGTAACCTAATGTTCCTAATGTAAACAGTATTTTCTCCAGAGAATCCCCCGTATCTCCTGCAGACTTTTGAAAGCTTGGCTTGGATCGGAGATATCACTGGAATTGAGGTTTGGCAGAGTCTAGCCTGGATCCAAAGAAGGCATGGATATGGGTCTCAGCCGCCCAAAGGAGGAGATAGTAACAGAGGAGGGCAATGTTGCGGAGGTGTGGGGAGTTGAATGGGGCAGGACACGGATGTGGGGTTTAAAGGACGGTTGAGAGTCGAACAAGAAACAGAGGTTTCGCACTGGCTCAGTGAGGTGGAATGAGGGAAACAAATTCCCCAAGTGTGCTGACTGACCAGATAAAACTGACCCATTGGTAATCTTACTGCATTTTGCTCTCAGAAAGGTACAGAAAAGAGCAGAAAAAAAACAAGAATCTGTTTTACAAGTCGATTGGATTGCTTCACATCCCAAAGGATGGGAAATAGGATTAAAAAAGTGGAAAACTACATCAATATATAATTATGTAGGCATGGTAAAGTTAGACGAGACTAATTCAAGAAAGTAATATCAGAGGTCATAAAATCCCAATATTTCTTCATTTTAAAAAAACACTGAAACTATTCATCCACCCTTTCGACTGCTGGTAATAAATGAAAAATGGTAATCATGTAGCATGGCAACTGTCTAGGATCAGCCTATCCATTAAAGTTTTATCTCATATAATTGTGGACTTGCTTATGTGTCTAAGTCTCACTGAGCAACAAGACTGTCTGGTCATAAACCAACAGCCTGTTAAATTAACACAGGCCTGACAGGCTTTCCTAGATAAATCTCCTTACAGACAGACAGTCAAGCTTCAGGAAAATCCATTTTACTGCTCTACTTTACTCCCAGAAGATCCCATTTACTTCTCCTGTCTCTCAGAAGACACAAAGGGGTGAAGATCCGACCAAGATTCAAACTCAAAGTCTTCTGGTCCCAAATCGAAGCAGCCGGTCCACATATAGTAATACTTAAAGTTAAAACTAGTTATTCTAGTCTCACAATGATCAAATGGCATTTTTAAAGTGATATCCAACCATTAAGAAAAACAACTTTGTTTAGATCTTTATTCTTCTCCAGATCCTAAATGCAATTTATTAAATAGACATACTTACACTTCTAAGATCAACCAGATTGTCTGGTCAACCATTAACAGGCCAGTAAACCCTTGCCTCTAAGCCAGAAGGTTGTGGGTTCACTCAAAGACAACTTAAAATAATAATCCTTGCATTTGATATCGCGCTTTATCACGGCTTCATGATGTCTCAAAGCGCTTCACAGAATATACTGTAAAGTGAATTGACTGTACATTTTGTTGTACTGAACGGAAGCTTCCATCAATGTGAGGTAACAAACTTAACCAAACACTAAAATTCACCGAGAAGGCATTTGTTTACCAGTCAAAATTATTCGAGTCATTTGAGGTTNAAAAAAAGTAACACAGAATATTCTAGAAATTGTAGCACGTTTCATGATAAACAAAAGTAATGTACATGAGCATAGTAATAATTGCCATCGCATCCATTTTAGTATTACTCAGTAGAAACATACAACCCCATATCATTTGAGAAGTATAACCTGAATATTTGTGAATGCATTTGCCAGTATGACATTGATTCACAACATAAACATGTTTTCAATACTTCAGTCAATCCTCTATTTCTATCACCTGCTTGCATTGTTCCACCCAAGGGATAATCACGAATAAAAGATTGAGAAATATTTCCATTCCTTACATAAACAGCGCTAAGCAAGGTGACCTTTGTGACCACATTGCTGCTAAAAGATCTAAACTATTCAAATACAATTAAGATGTTTTTCAACAACCAGACCTGACAATAAACAGTTTTACACTCACAACCCATACCTGTCGCAATATATTGCAAGTTGAGTTGGTCCCTAGGATAAATAGGATGCAGTGAATGCATATTTATTCTACATAAATATTGGATCACATTGTACAGTTCTTCAGTTTGACATTGCAAAGGACAAGACCCAGTTCTTTTTAAACTCATCAGATTAGTAACATTACATTTTTTGCAGGGGGGAGGGTGGGTGGGGGGGAAGCCTTCAGAATCTTTGCATGAGTAAAAGCATGCATATGGAGCATTAACTCCCACACAGAAATTACTTTCTGTACCCTGAAATGAATACAGTAATGCAATCTAAAATGGACACTGCACAGCTCAACAGATGTAATTTTGCACTCATGGAAATCAGGTTTATTTCTCCAGTGAGATGTTAAACAAAGCATTTTACTATAAACATCCATTTTTTAAAAAAAATATTTAAAGTGGGTGTTTGCAATTATTTAAAAAATGCGACCTAGGTAGAAAATAAATAAGAGTAGGTGGGAAACAAAGAAACTAGGAATTCTTGGTAAAATGCCCGGGGGCCGATCTAGCTATAGGCAAACGTGTTAGCTGCCTAGAGCGGCAGATTTCTGCGATAGTGTTTTTTTAATAAAATGCTCAACCGGAGAGATGGGCAGAGCTGCAGCTAGCGTCAGTGGTGGCCTCCAGGCGTTTTAAGGTAAAATTATCACTTTCAAATTAAAGCTAAAGCTGCAGAACTTCTAAGGGAACAAGTTTTGCCTAGGGTGGCGGACTGTGTTGAGTGGCTTCTAAAAACACGTCTGCGTAATAAACCTGCAATCATTAAACAAAATATAAGTTTTACAGCAATGGCCAATTTCTATAGAGGACAATAACCAGAAAAGTTCAAAATACAAAGCAATGGGAAGACTACAATTATTACCTTCAGAAATTATGCTTTATAAGCAAAATCGATGACACGTGTTCGTTCCAGAGAGTAGCATTAGTGTTAGTTTGGCTCAGTTTGGTAGAACTCTTGCACATGACACAGATGACTGTGGGTTCACAATCCAATGCCTTGGGACGTCCTCCCGACATGAAAGGCGCTCTATAAATGTAATTTTGTTGTTGTTGTCCAAGCATTAGTCTGACACTCCAGTGCATTGCTGCATTGTTAAAGATGTCATCTTTCTTTCAGATGATATATTAAACTGAGGTGGGACCTGTGCTTTTTCGGGTGGGTGCTAAAGATCCCATGTGTTTAGGAGAATTCTCCTAATTTAAAGTGTCATGAATAACTGGTTGTGTAAATTAGTTTACATTAAATATGCCACACAAAAAAAACTTTCAATTTGTATTGTTGCAGCAAACGTTAGCAAGAGAAAAAAATGGTACTGGATAGGGAACTATTGACTGCTATTTCAATACCCCATGTTTCCACTTCATCCAACTCAAACTGATGACCTTGGTCAATGTGCACTGTTAATTTGATTTAAGTACTGTAATACAAAGTGAAAAAATGTGTATTGTAAAAATGCAGAGGAAATTGGTATCTTACTACTTAAGCAAAAAGCCATTAATAGTATATTGCAGACTGCAACAATATGACAATGTGGGCAGCAAGCTTGAGCACATTAACTATACACTCTTTGTTTGCACATACAATTTCCATATTTCAAATTCACCCACAACACAGCAACTTTAATGAAGTCAGTAAATATAGTTTACAATTTGGCAAAAATAAACTCGGTTCTCTCTAACTTAAATTTTCCTTTTGCCCAATTAATCGAGCAAACTATTCATCCCGGGAGATTGCGTCCCAGAAGGGTACTTTGTGCAGTTACAAATTGCTCATGCAGTCTTCCACATAGACGGTCATTGCTGTTGCCCCTTGACACAGGCCTTACAAGTTTACAATTTAAAGATTATAAGATACTTCGCCCAGCAGCTCAATGACAGTAATTTTCACTCATGGTGGAGCACTCGGAAAAACAATACAGTAAGATAGTCTCTCTTAGGAGAATATTTACAGTCACCTAAGCAACCCTCAAACCTTTGACAAGAATCATGGGATCATCCGCTGGGAATGGCAAACAAGAATTTGATAGAAGGCTGGCGACAGCACAGAATTCACAAAAATATGGCTGGTGTCAAGACCAATTATGAATTGGTTCCAGGTTGAAAGCCATACCCACAAACATCATATGATTAAAGTTTGACTCTGTCCCCCATTGGGTAAA